AGGCAAAGCTATCACTAATGCAATTAATTTGACAATGCTAGGGCAAATACTAACTAAAGATTCGAGAACAAAATAGGCAGGCAAGGAGATACAATTACACTAAAATATCAAACTATTAAAGTATCAAGACAAGAGAGGAACAATAGAACCTGGATTGCAACCCTTGAAGTTAACGAAAATCTGTCCGGCGGTGATGTTGAACGGAACAAAGGGTTTGCGGAGACTTGGAAAAGTATATACACGGCGAGAATTGACCAGAATCTGAATCTGAATCTTCGTGGGAGAATTATTATCGCCGGTGTATAAGAGCGCAAATTGACAGCGCAATTGATAGAGACCTCTGAGAATTTCCCGAAAAATGATTTAATTTGGATTCGTTATCAGTGAATTTGGTGTTCAAAACCCCTTTTTAGAGTTTCCCCGAATGCAACTGTCCTAACAATGGTCTGGAATTTAAGTCCAAAACCTAGAGCTATTTCTTTCATTATTATGGGTGCAAAAACTGATAAATGGCCTTATCGCAGCCTCTCACTAATTTCCTACAGTCTGCACATTTCCTGAATACTAATTAAGATATGACTACACATGTCAAGCAAAAAGACAAAGTCCTCAAAAGTTCAAAGCACTTTATTTATTACTAGACTACAGAATAATTTTTAGTCCAATGTTGAATAAAGAGAAGCTAAAATATATAGGAAGTAGAAGGAGAAAGAAGAATTTATTACCATATCCACAACGGTTTGGCTGGAAAGAAACTCAAATACCCCATCACTGGCAATCACAAAGAAAGGATGATTTGAGGTGAGCTCCAAAACAACAATTTCAGGATTTGGAACAACACCAATTGTCTCAGCCACAGAATCACCTATACTTCTTGTAAAAGCCGTACCAGGATACATCCCATTTGGCACCCACAACCTTGGAGGATCACCTTCATCACCTTCTTCAGTGTCCCAACATTGCACATCAGGATTCTTCAATCCTTCAATCTGATCCAGTGTAAGAACTCTTGCTCCACAGAGCTTAACC